AAGCAGAACTGTCTCGATATCAATAAAATTGCATTCATTATGAGCATCACTTTATACCCATCCATCAAGGATATGAAAATCATCTCTTTTGCACAGATCAACATTTGATAGTTTGAAATTAGTTTGTCTACTGAATAAATTCATTAGAATTATTATTTAGTAGCCATCTGCTCGTAAAAGAAATTTTCAAACTGGTTTTAATGAATTACCCAGAACTGACCTAATTCGAGAGGGACCAAAATGTTTATGTGACTCAAGCCGAAAAGGGTATGCTGGATTTTCGGCCAGTGGAAGGCATCAATGCCGCAATTAAATTACGATTCGTTGAGCACGTGTAAATTAAACAGGGGCCAAAGGACGAGCAGTAGCAGGGGAGGAGCTGGGCTGGCAAGGAGCAGAACTCCCACGGAGTCCTTGGAGTGCCTGAAGCGTGTATAGCGTGGTAGCTCTCAAAGGATTTGGTCACCCAAGGCGAGTCTTCTCATGAAATGAGGCAGAGACATTCCCGACAAGAGACAGTAGAAGCCGAGGGTGACCATGTGTTTTAGCATGATTATTTCAACGGGAACGACTGCTGCTGTCCAACAGGAATTTTCATGTCATGCTTGTCAACTTAAATTATGGCCTGAACTTACCTTAAGCATTCAGCGTATAAAGGAGTGGATTGGTATGCTCCTGCCGTGGGCATACAATACATCTCCTTTTTCGCCGCCAAAGGGCGAGTATCTTTCTGCTTATTTTTATCCCAATTCTGTTATACCCGGTACTCGAAGAGTAAATAGGGTATATTTTATTTGTGGTGAAAAGTGGATGTATATAACACACAGAAGGAAACGTTTCCGACCCCATAAATTCATATATATTCTTGATCAGCATCAAGAGTAGAGTCGATAAAGCATGCCTGTCTGGCCGTATGCCCGTCCGTCTTGTTGAGCGCCTGAATCTCAGAGACTATAAAAGCAAGAGACACCAAATTTTTCATCCAGTTGGCTGTATGCTCACACTCTGTACACAAGTATTTGTGTATTTCAAAATATCGCACCGTCCACTGCGGACCTCACAAAGGTAAAAAATCTGATGTTTTTACAATTTTGAAGATAATTGAAAACTTAAGACGCCATTCGGTAGGGAAGGACCATATCTTTTAGATCTCTGAATTATTATCAGATTGGATCATTATTATAGCCAGAATGCAGAAATTAATTTGCAGTTTTTAGCAAGCAGTTTTATTTATTTTTTGCACATTTTCTCTCACTCTGCCTTGTGTAGTGTACGACTCTAGGCGAGAAGTGATGTAGATGTAGATGACAGATGTAGAAAAAATGTAAAAGTCGAAAAAAACAATAAGGTACAGAAATACTGACTGAGTACCGGGTATACAAGTTGTGACGCGTAACAAGCATCCCACACGTCCCTTCTCGTTCATGTCGTGAATTTGTCCTTGCCGAGTGGCGTTCCCTCCTCCTTTTAAAATACTAAGTGTACTGTCGTGAGAGGGAGTATTCGAGGCATAGCCGCAGAACTGGCATAGGTAACTGACGTGCAACATGAAAATGCACTTTTCGCTTTTAATTGAAAAATTTTTTCCTTCTCTGTCGGTTTGTTATTTTCTGAATTGTCATTTTCGGCTGTTTTGTTAGAGAGTGAGTGGAATGAGTGTTTGTGTGTGGAATGGTATGAGTATTTCCATTTTTAGCTAGCAGGTTGTCAAACGCATAAATTATAAATTTATTTATCGTTTTTCATCTCTCCACGTATTTCATGGATACACTGAATGACCGCTACCAAAAAATGCACCGTGTTAAAGTCAAAGCGAAGTGCCCGAGTGAGCACAGATTTTAGCATTGACTGACTGAACGTTAAGGCACAAAAATGTCCAAACGAATAGAAACGTTTGTGAGACGCTTAATAGGTGTCACACCTTTATACCCGTTAGTCAACCGTATGTATGTACCGTACTATGTACAAATATATATATGTACTTTCATACATACGTATGTATCATACTTAGGTTACATGCATACTTTAACCTGAAGTTCGAATTTCGCATTTTACATTTTTCCTTTATCTGTCATCTACATCTACATCACTTATCCCGCCAACACCTTTTAGCTCGCCCCCCTCCACCAGAGACTCACATTTTTTCTAGCAAATAGAATTGGCAAGTGATCCGATGATAAATCACTAAGCCTGCGTTACTCTTCTTGTCACAGCAAAATTAATCAAGGTGAGTTGTTTCTTTGGGTCCGTAGGCCAATACATACATATGTATGTACATATATGGCCTTTCCGCAGTGAGTTGCTGAAATGTCGGTTTAGAGACTGAGGCGTATGACTTATTTTTGCCGTAACGCCTTAGCAAAATAAACTCGTGGGATCGTAGTTGATGGTATATAAGACAAATTTTGTCGGGTGACTGTGTTTCGAGCTGAATTTTTTTTACTTTTTTTACATATGTATAAATAATTAGACTGCTCGGAACGATGCGCGGCGATCGACAATATTTTAGACTGGGACTAAGAAAAGGGCAAAGCACTGCAATATAAGCAGTACGAAGGGTGCATTCATATGCGTGCGCTTCTATGCAATGTAAGAGGGAGCGATGAGCGCGTCAATGCATTGCCATTGCAATGGCATATCAATATAAGAGAGTGTAAGTGTAACCAAAGCGAGCTGATTTTAATAACTATGCTGCTCCGAACAAATTCTTTATATACATGGCATCCTCTATAGTTAGCAGTGTGGTTTCCCCCAGAGTTGCTACATTTTTTTGGCATATGGGTCCTCCTTATTAACTGGGCAGGGCACAGTGAGGTGTACATCCCAGCAGGCAACGCAGACTGCTCGTAAAGTCCAATACGTTTTCGTATTTCCATATTTCTGGCAGTCAGTACTTTGTACAGGCCCATTCCGTTTGTGCGGTTCCTCAACGCTTTCTAGACATTTGGATGCCCTTATCTGTAAGTGCAGCTAATATCTCATCAACTGGAACCATTGATTCGATTCTTTGATAACCACTTGTAACCCTTTGCTACTTTTAAGTGGGTAGGTATAGGAATTCATCTTTTCATGCTTCTTCGCTTGCTTGGCCTTAGGTGTTGCAACGTGATCATCATCTTCGTTTGGGACACTTCATTTGTTGGAGAGCGCCTTAAAAAGCACACATTATTTTCGGATGCTTTGGTTATTTTGGGTGCGTTCGATTTAGTTGTTGCCTCGGGGCTTAATTATCCTTTTACTTGCACGTAGCGATCGAGCCCAGTTTGTACTAGCGCTCCGTTTGCGTTTTTCGAACTGTTTTGTTGGGATAGGGGAGATTTTCGCTATGAGTTGAAAATGCCGGGCGCTGAGAAACTGCAGTTGTTGTTTTGGTTGTATTTTTTGTCGTTGTTGAAGTCGACTGACTACACAGTATTAATCGAGGGCATTGTACTGGTCTTTGTTGTTACTAAAAATTCGTTGGTAAAACAGTAGGGGTCGGGGGCCGAGCACTTCACTTGACACGTGTTTAGTTGCAGGGACGCACTTTTTATTGGTTATTTTAGTTCAGGGTCGCGAAGTGACGATTCGGCTCATTATACCCGGTATAAAGTATTTGTGGGGGAAAAATTTAATACGCAGTTGGAAGCATTACGCAGCATCAGAAGCCGAGCCGATATAGCCATGTCTGTCTGTCCATCCGTCTGTCCGTCTTGTTTGTCGGCTAGTTCTCAGAGACGGTATAAGCTGAGCCAAAAAATTTTTTCTCCAGACTGCTGAATGCTCACACTGTTTTGAAAATTAGCCCCGTCCCCTTCCGCCCACACAAAGGGCTAATTTCTGCTGTATCCAAAATTTTGATAAAAGTGATAGCGACAGTGAATAGGATGAAAATTCAGGAAAATAATGTTTTGTTTTTTAAGGTCTACGAAGAAAGTAATGAAATGATCTCCAATAAAAAAATAAGGTTTTGATGTTTTTCTTTAAATAAATAAATTATTTTTCAGTATATTTTACGGTATATTTTGAAAAAGATAAAGTATATTTCGGTATATATTCGAGGCCCTAACGGTATATTGTATCGATAATTTCGCGGTCACGCTCACCACCAGAGCTAAATAGGCGTTTCCGGGTTAATTGATGTAGATGTAGATGACAGATGTAGGAACAATTTAAAATGTAAAATTCGAAAAAACCACTGAACCACAGACTGAGTACCGGGTATATAAGTTATGTCGCGTACAAAGCGTCTCACAAACGTTCCTACACGTTTTCCTTATCCCTTGCGCTTATGTGGCACTCAAAACATTTTGGCTTACTTCCTAATCGATTCAGCCTGGTCTTTGACCCATAAAAATGTAATAAAACGACCAAATCGAGACTACGGCGAGATTCATTGGGTTCAGGCAAGATGTCACTGTCATTTCCATGGATATAAAATGGAATTTGTTTTGGTCGTGTCCTAGTCGTTGTCCCATCCCTGCCATGGTAGCTGTACTGGTCTTTGTCCTGATTCGAGTCCGGGTCCTTGTAACGAGAAGACTGCCGTGCCTTTTGCTTGGCTACAAAATACGCAAAAATGGCGAGCCTGGTCCTCCCATGTCTGCGGGCTATATACTCTGTCCATTGTCCGATGCCACCGCCACGCTGATGACCCATTTTCCTTAACGCGCCGGCGATCAAAACTGACAAAACAAAAGCTATCATCGTTAGACAAGGAAAGATGGGCCATAGAAGAGGGTTCTGGCCCTTCAACATTGGCTATCCAATCGTTTATGGTAAACGCTTCAAATGCCGTTTAAAATCAATTTAAATGATGAACTGATTGCCCTCCATTGCCATGGCCATAGCTATCGCTACGAAGTCTCTTTCCTCTCTCTGCATATCACATTGTGTCGGTTAATCAATGGTTATCCAATATCAGAACATTTAAAATTACCAGTTCTACTCTCTACTATGTACACACAATCTTCTTGCCAGCATATCATCTCCCGCTTAATATCTTTTGGTTCTCCACACAGAGTTCATGCACAGCAGCGTGCGGTATATCGAAATGTCCAACACACATCTGCAGAGTGTCGACGATGAGACATTCCAGGGACTGCGTCTGAAGACACTGAAGCTACTCGACAACGAGCTGCAAGATATATCCCAACGGAGTTTCAGGTGAGTGTAAAAGTGGTTGGGTTGTCAGTGGGTAAGTGGGATTAGGGTTTGGGGCTGGAGCTGGAGCTTTGGGATGGATGGTATATGATTTTGGGTACGCTCCGAGCAGAATGGTTCGCAGTGGAATCACACATGGTAGAATTCATAATTTCACCATGGCTTCACACACGCATCAAAAAACTCAACAAAAAAAGCAACGAAGGGCATAAAGAAACTATAAGTACGAGTGAGAGGGCTCTCGCTGCAAGTGTGAGGGCAACGACAGTGGAATGTGCTGATTAACTATTTGAAAGCAATGAGAACATAAGAGAACATAATAATTGTTACAGTATTTAATTTTTAATAGTTTGCTTCATGATGGTAGTCAGTATTTTGAAAAAATAAATATTTTGAAAAAATTTGAAAAAAGAATTCGTCCGCAACCAACTTTCCGCGTCGACAAGCAAACGAGCACTGAGAATTGTGGAAAGCAGCGAGTAACTCTGCCAACGACGAGGCCTCCTTATAGAATAAAGCAACTATACAAGGAGGCCCCGTCGGAAAATATTATGGACTAGTGCGAGTGAAAAGTGCGAGTGAAAGGGCTCTCGCTGTAAGTGTGAGGGCAACGACAGTGGAGTGTGCTGATTAATCGTTTGAAGGCAATGTGAAAAAAAATAATAATTGTTTAATAATTTAATTTTTAATAGTTTGCTACTTAATAGTAGCCGGTGTTCTGAAAAAATAAACATTTAAAAAAATATTGAAAAAACAATTTTGTTCGCAACCAACCTTCCGCGTCGACAAGCAAACGAGCACTGAGAATTGGGTAAAGCAGCGAGTAAATCTGCCACCGACGGGGTCTCCTTATATAGTTGCTTTATGCCTTATAGTTTCTTCATGGCTGAGTGGAGGAGCAATAGCTTATTCACTACGCTATCTCAGCTCTCAGAGAGGCAAGCGCTAGAGAGAGGCGGCAAACGTTTTACGTTCTGCACTCTTCGCTTTTATTGTTTTTGCTGACAGCAAAGAAAAGATGTACAAAACAAATAATAAAAATTGAATATGTATGTTATAATAGTTCTCTTGGAACTAAAATACTTCCATACAAAGTTTTGGATCGGCATAGCAAACAATATGTTTGCAGACATGTTTATTTCTAAAAAATAAAAAAATACACATCCAAAATATAATAGAAGTTGCATGCATATTTTATTGTCTTCCGCTTACGTCTTCGTTCGTAAACAATGAAGAAACGGAAGAAAAAGACAATGAAAAAATCGTGCGCTACACAACCTCTTTCGTCAACGTTTGGCAAACGACTGACCATAAAGCAACTATATAAGGAGGTCTCGTCGGAAAAAATTATGGAATCGTGCGAGTGAAAAGTGCGAGTGAAAGGGCTCTCGCTGTAAGTGTGACGTCAACGACAATGGAGTGTGCTGATTAATCATTTGAAACCCAATGTGAAAAAACATAATAATTGTTTCATAATTTAATTTTTAATAGTTTCCTACATAATAGTAGTCTGTGTTCTGAAAAAATAAACATTTGAAAAAATTTGAAAAAAAAATGTTGTCCGCAACCAACCTTCCGCGTCGACAAGCAAACGAGCACTGAGAATTGTGGAAAGCAGCGAGTAACTCTGCCACCGACCATAAAGCAACTATATAAGAAGGTCTCGTCGGAAAAGATTATGGACACGTGCGAGTGGAAAGTGCGAGCAGAGGGCTCTCGCTGCAAGATTGAGGGCAACGGCAATGGAGTGTGCTGATTAACCATTTGAAGGCAATTTAAAAAAACATAATAATTGTTTCATAATTTAATTTTTAATAGTTTGCTTTATGATAGTAGTCTGTGTTTTGAAAAAATAAACATTTTGAAAAAATTTGAAAAAAATGTTGTCCGCTACCAACCTTCCGCGTCGACAAGCAAACGTGCACTGAGAATTGTGGAAAGCAGCGAGTTACTCTGCCACCGACGAGGCCTCCTTATATAGTTGCTTTATGCGACTGACAAGCAGGTGTTCCTCGAATGAGGCACCTATTAGTAATTTCACCATGCTTTTTATGATGCAGCGTGCACACACAACGTTTCAGGCATTTGACCGAGTAGTTGGTAGTCGGTGACTATCCTCTTTTTCTACCCAGCCTCCGTCGCCCAACCCCATCACAGTTTGCTACTCCTACAAAGGGATGGCCAGAGAGTGATGGAAAGAGAGAGTGAATGAATGAGCTGATCGCATTTGGCTTTTCCTTAACGTTATATCTTATTTTAACTATTCCTTCTTCGTATGCGCTTTTTGCTGCACAAAAATGTTTTAACGAGCACAAAGGGTAACCGGAGTTGGGGTCTTGCCCTTTAACCATATGCGCCCGCAACACCACACACACAGAAAAAGAGACAAACACACATACTCATTACGTTAGTATAGTTAAATGGATGCCCACAAATTACAGTTATTTACAGTTCTCCTAGCGAATGAAACAGAAAGGCAAGGATATAAGGAGCATAAGAGTGTGGGACACAGAGACAGAAAATCCAGATACATACAAGTTTACACACTCCACCGAATTTGAGATTTGAAAACAAACCAATTAATGCTCATAAGCCTGGCAAATGTTTTTTTCAACACTGGTGCGGCGCGTATCCGCGGAATTAGCTTAAACGAAAAGGTGCAGTATGCAACGTTATTGAGCTGGTGGAAGGTGATGAGCTTCTACGGGGCACGCGCTTGTTCCGGTATCGTTATCAGTCGGGAGATGGGGGGGGTTAAGGGAAGGATCCGCTGCTCTATCCGCTCGTCTATATACATAAAATTATTAAAATTCGCGTGCGATGAACAAGTCGGTTTATGAAACAATAGTGAAAAGAAACA